CTCAAAAGGAAACATTGGTCAATATCGTTTCATTTTGTATCTCATTTAACTTTAAAATCTTGATATAGTTCAATCGTGCTTCACAAAGACGATATATGGTAAAATCGAATTGAATGTTGACAAAATATTAACATTTTCACTTTGACGTATAACAACTTTGTATGTATGCATAAGTTTAAAAATATGATTTGACAGCAAACTTAAGTTTCAATATATCCGACAATATAATGTCGGATAGTAAGGACAGCAAAAGTTATAAATGTTGATCCATGAAACTCAATTTCCTGTATTCTTACTTTAAAAATCATCATTATATTTGTATATATACCTTCTTTGAAGATTCCGCAAGATTTTTAATTATCTCGAAACTTTTAGCCACATTTTTTTACTTGCTCCTAGCAGAAAACTATAGACTTTAGATTTGGAAATGTTATCTCTTATATATACATATGGGAAATTACAAAAATCTTTTAAATTCCTTGAAGCTGAGGTTTGCAAGATTATAACTCGCGATATATGAACATATTGCATATAATTTAAATTCAATTCTATAAAATGAAGTGTTCTTGTCAAAATCTTAAAATATTGGTAATAAATAATAAGTTGCGTGGAAGCTGTGATGGTGGTAATGTAAAAAAATGGGTGGAAATGTGTTGAAGCCAACGAGTTTTTTTGTGTTCGTTCCCGATTTGTGGCTAAACTACACAACGCACGCGCATGTGATCAGTGACTAAGTTGCAGAATACCCCATGGACAATATGGTTCTAATGTATGATTTTTCGATATAATAACTGCATCCACCCAAAATGGATGCTGACATTTTGAAGCCGGATTTTCCGTGTTTTTTTAATTTTTCTTATAATTAGGATGCGCATCCAGATAATAGAATAAACAAATTATAGGATTGTAGAACTCGTGATTCTGCTTCGTTTAGTGTATATCTCATGAATGTGCTCACTGCAGCTTCTTTGCAATTGGGTTCCAAAGACGAAAATTTGGTGCGTAAATTTTTATAAAAAACATATTTTTTGAGTCTAAAATTAAGAAAGTCCATTCAAATTCCGTGGAACCCCGCGTGATTTTAGTTTTTTTACGTGCCGGATCTAATGAGCCCATCCATGTTGAATTCCGTCCAATAAAACGGCGGATATAGGTACCTTGAATGTGGGAAAAACTGCAAAAACTTATTTTGATAAATTCGCGTAAATAATCGCGGTTTTCTTCGAATTAATTTTACATGCATTTATGCTTGTATTGTCAAATTCGCGAATCTGTGTGGAAATAGGTCAAAAAAAACTTCGATACGCGAATAATATGCGCATTTTATCCAAAATTGATTGTGGAGGCACATCCGCGGTTCTTAACCGATCCTTTTAAAATAGGTGTCCTTTTGTGTATTTTCATAGGAGATTACTGAAATCGGATGCGCATAAAAATCGTATGCACGTTGCGTGATTTTTAGCCATTTTTAGGATTTTTGCATAGTAAAGTGCATCGAGTGGCACACTTTGACCGCTATATTAAACATCGAAAAATTCATAATTATTGAACGACATTGATTCGGTTTATACGAAAATCGGATGCGCATCAACTGATTTCAACTAATTCGCGAATTGCAAGCTTTTCAATATTGATCATTTATATGTATTGTAAGTGCAATATATTTAGCCATTAATGACGTCGAAACTCTTATCAGATGAATCTACCGATATTTAACAATCATCTAAAAGAATTTTCAGAAGAAAGCGTCGTATATTTTAGAAGATTAAGGCAAAAACGTATCCTCTTAACCATACTAAAAAATCAAAAATTCAAAAAAAAGTTTTGTTTTGATTCAAAAATTAATTTATTTTATTTGCAGATATCTTCATGATTCTATTTGTTTTTCCCGACTATTAAACCGTATTGCATTGTGATTTGACAATTATACAAAGAAAACAAATGTGTTTAACCATTTGTGAAGAAATTCGCGAATTACAACAAATAGAAATTCATTTAATTTATATTTGAAATACAAGATTTAAAACCGCTATAACTTTTGTGCGCAGCATCCGAATTTGTGAACGCGAACAGATTTCGAATCAGCATATTTTTCTTAACCTATGTACCAAAAATCATAAATGTGCTCGCAAAATTTTTTTTCAAATTTTTTTAAATGGAATTTTAAAAGAATTTTGTAATTTCCCATATATATATAAATGAAATGATGTGCGTTGTCTGCTAAAAACTAGAGAACGGTTCATCGGATTTTAATAATTCCTTTTGTGTTGTATTCGCATTGTTAACCGTAAGGTTTAGCAGTAAAAAAATTTGCAAAATATTGGTTTTGAAAAATATTGAATAAATTTTTTTGGTCAATCAATAATGCCAAAACGGGGATGACCAAACATTGGTCGCTAAAACTCGAGAACGGCTGAACGGATTTATCTTATCTTAGTCTTGAAATGTTCGTGGAGGTCCAGGGAAGGTTTAAAAGATGAGAAAATATCGAAAACTGCGAAAAATTTGCAAGCAAATATTATGAAGCATATCTGCATTTCCACGACTTTAGCATCGAGCTATTTTTATTGCACCACGTCATAGTTGTTATTTTGAGATATTTTGGGCGAGAGGCGTATCATTCTTTAAGGCTTTGTCAATTATTGACAATTTTCATAAAAAAAATTTGATTGATATTATATTGAAAATATTTTATGTGTGAATACAACAAATAATTGAAAAGTATATCATTGAATGTACAAGCGATCATTGCATGTACACGTTTTCCATAGAATTCACGATTTTGGGACAAATGCAAGGATGGAAACTCAGAAGACATTCTGAATCGAGTTCGTGTAATAATAATAATAATAGGAACATGTTTTTCGTTTTCCAATATATTTGAACTTACAAACAGAACACCTTGCATATATCCGATACCAAAAATGTGTATCACAAAGAAAACTAATATACGACATATTTTATTTGCTAAAATTTATCATTAAGCTCAGCTGGAAAGAGAACAACGAACCAAAAATCAGCCATATTAGAAAAAATAGCCAAGCCATGGTATCTAATTTGAAGGTTATACCAAAACCTCCGTCCGATGTTAATTATTCGTATTGAACATGCCAACTACCGACAACACTCAGGATGGAAAACGGTGGTAAGAACTTTAATATACCGAAAATTAAACGGGAAATAGTTATGGCGTATTTTTAAGACATTTAATTATAGTGCGTAATTTCGGCATAATTTCTTTTTATTCATAGGAATCCGTTAAGCCTAATTATACCCAACTCTATGCTAAAATTCGGTCAATTTCTTTATTATACCGATTGCTATATCAAAACTTGGACCTACATAGATAATTATTCGCAAACCATTATATGGGTGCTACCCGGAAACGTGGACCGAGATTTGCAAAGAAATTTTGTACTCACTGATCATCTAAAATATAAAATTACAGCCAATTTGGTTGAAACACGTGACCAAACCCCCCAAAATAGAAGAGTGGAACAATATTGACAATTTTTAGTAGGATTCATGCTACCAAATAAAACAATCAGTTACAGCTGATTACGATGAAAAACGTGCACAAATCCCCAAAGGATCGTATAATGTGGAGTGCCATTATATGGAGGCTTTTCGGAAGCTTGGGCAAATTTTGTTAGGAACATTTTCTACTCAATGATCACCCAAAATATAAAATTACAGCCAAATACCGAAAATTGAGGGGTTACCCGGATACTTGCCAATATTGATAATTTTAAGTATAGAGATTTTCTGCTCAATAAGTACACCCTATGTTAAATTAATAGCAATTCTGTTGAAAACCGTGGCCAATATCTTCAAAATACGGTATGTTTACGGTCACCATTATATTTGGGCGGTACCCATGTGCCAATGTTGATAATATTTGGTACGGACGCTTTCTACTCAATTGCAATCAATTGTGTTGAAAAAAATCAACATTTCTCATATTGCGAGGTCCCGTTATATGGGGGCTACCCTAAATAGTGAACTAATATTGAAAATGTTAAATACCAAATATCCTAGGAGTAGCAGCAATGTATGTGCAAATCGTGAGGGTATCTATCTCAAATCGTGGAGGGTAGAAAAAGCTAATTTAATAGTGGGCTATCGTTATGTGAATTATACATCAACAATATTGCTATGCAAGACAACGTTTGGCGGGCCCGCCAGTTGCAAATAAATAGCAGTACTTCTATAAAATAAAATTTATTATATTAAAGAACAGGTGTTCCTTTAGTCATTAGCTTCTCTTGTTAATATTTTCTTTTTTGTTTCAGGTGTTTTCTTAGAAAAAAATCGATTTACTGATAACACACAATATTCACTTTCTATGTTAACAGAATTGCCCATGACTTGAAACCTCTGTTACGCGGCCATCAACATTTGTTTACGATACATAGACGTATTTTTGTTTTTAATTATCCACATTTTACACGGTTACCGTCAATCATTTAAGACAGTTACTAGTTCATGGTAAAACGCCAAATAACAATAAACCATAAAGGTTTTGTGTGTAAACATGTAAAATGTGATCATAATTGTTTGTTTATTTTTGTTTTGATTTCAAATTTGTAATGGTGCGTTTTTACGATTTGCCGCGACTGTAATAAACCAAATATGTGTTTTCCTATTAATAACTAACTAAGATAATTTATTATGGCGCTGTTTGAAAATCAATTCTGGGATCTGCGTATGTATGTTTAATATGTGTTACGGAAACCGCTATTTTTCTTTTATCTTAATTGCGGATATAAAACAAACATTCATTAAATTAGAGTAAAAACAAATCAACGCTTACTGTTTCATAAACAAACAAAACTTGATAACAGATCAAATGTTGAATTGCGCAGCAGGTCCATATCCACACATCTATGTGTATGTTTAACGGTATATAAGATAAGTAATTAGTAAACAAAATTTATCATTCACATTCGGTTAATTCACCTGCAAGGAACCATTTAATCTCCTCAAAACAATCTCATAGAATGGCATTCAAGGTATATATTTAGCATATGGGGATAATCTACTTTGTATATTAATCGCTTTTCTTCCTATTTCAGTTTATTGCAATTTTAGCTTTTGTTGCTGTTGCCAATGCAGGATACATATCATCCCCACCATCGTATAAATATGAAAAACACCAACCGGCTTATATTTATCCTACTGAAGCTCCAGTAAAACATATTGTACCAGTAGTTCAAAAAGTCCTCACCAAACATGTCGAACATTATGAATCCAGTCCACAATATAAGTTCTCATATAATGTTGATGACAACACTACCGGTGATTCTAAGACTCAATTTGAGGAACGTAATGGTGATGTTGTCCATGGTGAATATTCCCTAATTGATGCTGATGGTTATAAACGTATTGTTACCTACACCGCTGATGCTCATAATGGTTTTAATGCAGTTGTTCGTCGTGAACCTTTGAACAAAGTTGTCCACTCCGAACCGGTTGCTGTAAAGACACATTATGTTGCTCCAGAACATTATAGTTCTCCCGATCATTACATTACTCCTTCTCATTATTCAACTGCTGATCACTATACTGCTAAAGAAATTCACTATCGTCCTCATTCTTCACCTTCTTCTTCCTCTTCTTACTATCATCATTAAGAAAAGAAAGGATGTGTGTTAAACAATTGTAATATTTATTATTTAACAGTATTATTAAATTATTATGTGATATTTATATAATTTTTGCAGTGTAAATAATTTTTAATATTCAATATATTTCGTAAAATAAATCCTCATTGGATTTAATATTGTTAGTTTTGCAACCGATTGTTTGACTACTGTTTCTCTTGCTAACAACCGTTATAAAATTCGCTTATGCATTTTCCAAATCATTTCGATATAAATGCCAAATTCAACATATTAACACTAGATTGCCGAAGGCGGCCATTTCAATCGTTTTTCAATTTGAAGTAAAAACAACTGTGTATATAATGACATAGCTTTTTAAAATTTGGTGACTTTTTATATAATAAACGTAATTCTATGTGGTACAAAACCAAAACCAAATTGTACCAAATTTTAAAAGAAAGTGCCATTATATGCACAGTTGTTTTTGTACTTGAAATTGAAAAACGGTCAAAATGACCGCCTTCCGCAATCTTGTGTTAAACAAGTTTAAATTTGTATATAAAATAATATTAAATTTATTATAATGACAAAACAAGACATAAGAAAGAAGATAGCATAAAATCAATAAAACCAAGAGTTTATGTTTCATATAAAATCCGCTACCACCAAAACATACAAAGCTGTTTTCACTCTCTTTGACAAGAATCCTGTATTTAAAGATTTATGAAATCCATTTAAAAAATGCAGAAATCCGGACGTTGCAGCACTTATAAAAAAAAAATCATATAACATGCGATTTGTTATACCCTACACAACTATGTTTTCAGGGTATTATAGCTTTGTGCAGCCCCAAAAGTTTGTAACGCCGCGAAATATTGGAAATAGCTGAGTCGATCTAGACATGTGTGTCCGTCCGTCCGTCTGTCCATTATAATTTGTAAACACGATACAGGCCACAGTTATGGACCAATCTTCACGAAATTTTGCATGTAGGATGGGTTCTGGCCAATGAAGACCCCTATTGTTTTTGATAAAGATCGGTTAATATTTAGGGGATGAAATGGACCAAAAACTTTATTTTTGTCCAATTTTCTGATCGCTCCAGAGGCCGCAATTATGGCCGAACTTCGCGATTTATCACATGGAGAAGGGGATTGGGCCAAAGAATAAGCATGCCAGTTTTTACAAAGATCGGTCAATATTTAGCGGGTCAAATGGACCCTGATTTTTGTGTGAAAAATTACAACATTTGTATTCTATAGCGTATATATTTACACCTGAATGGACATAGACCCGAGAAGTTGATAGTATATCCAAGAGGAGTGGTTGACCTTTAAATTTATACCAATCACATTGTTACACTTAAATATTTACAGGTGCTTACGTATTCATATATTACTTAGTAACCTATTACCACACTTTAGGGCGGATATATATAGCCTGATCGCTTTGAAATGTTCCATGAGGTTCCAGTTATGGTCAAGGACAACACCTAAAATGTTAGGTGATGATGAGATAATAATTTTTCGGATGAAGTGGGCCGAAAACTTAATTATTTGTACTTTTCGAGTCGAAAGCCGAACATCACAACACAACCTACAGTGAAGGGAATCTGGACAAGTAATTAGAGAGGCTGTACTGATTATTAGTAACATTTTCTGATCTCTAGCCAGTCAAAAGTGTGCAAATATCGCGAAATATTGCCCAATCTCAGAATATAGAAAGAAAGTTAGATTTTCATGGAAGTTGTGTAGGGTATCATATGGTCGGCCCCGTCCGACTATACTGCTCCGCTCACTGTTTTTTTTTTTTTTTATAAATGACTTGGATTGTTCGAAATGCAGACCTACATATATTAACATTTTTTGTTGTAAAATTCCAAAGGAACCATCAATGTGGCGGAACTATTTAACAAAATTTATCAACGTTTGCAACACCGGACACCTCAAAAAGTATGTATATACTTGATGAGAAAAAAATTCTTTGTTGATATATGGTAGTCCCTC